TCTCTAGAGTCTAATTCTCTAACTTGCAAAGAAAAGAAAGTGGTTCAATTTAGTTAAATATGTGGATGGCAGTGAAAAAAATGGAAAAAAAAGTTTTTCCCCTTATATAAAGCACTACTCTGAAAAGTTATTTCTTTTATTATTGATTTACTGAAATTAAAAGTATATCTACTTCTAATACATTGTTTACACACATGGCACAAATAGAAGTTTAAAAGTATAAACTGTAAACGGCTGGAGATATTAGTGGCATGGGCTTAAAGTTGGGGAGTTTGAGATTTGGGGGGGACACTTTGTTTTTTCTTGTGTGTAGGATAAACATATACGTTAGATAAAATTTGCTTCCCAAACGAGGAATCCAGTCACATGGAGTTGAGTCCTGTGCGTATTATATTGGCTCCTGTGCCAGCCTCGGAAGCAGTAGAATAGAAGAACGGACAGCCAATGCTCAGACGAGGCTCCCACACGCACCTTCGCCGCCCCTTTGCTCACCTGAGCAGGAGCACTGCCCGCGTCAGCGGTGGTGGATCCTGCCCGGTGGCACACTAGATTGTCAGCAGTGTGTTTCCCCAGGAAGAGCATCGTGTTGTCACAGTTAGCATCTCGGGGAGCCATGGCTGTCAGAGCATAGCTTTTCTGTGTCTGACCTGAAGTCTAGGGCAGGGCTGTTCTCATTTCCCACCTGTGGCTCCTTCTTGTGGAACGCTGCAGTTCCCCCTCCTCACCACAGGGTGGTGCTCTGTACTGATCTCGTATCTAATATTAGAGAACCAGTGACTAAAACCTCAGACTGGTTGGCTTCTGATACAGTTATTATTTGTAATGTTTATGATTGGTACCAAAATCAAGAGATACTTTTTAAAAAGACATTTTCAAAGAAGTTTAGGATTTGCTGTTTTCTAATTTACTTCTGGAACATACCATTTTGAAGGGAATGGAGTGGGTGAATATCTATATATGAACATAAGGAAGTATATAAAGATCACTGTCCATGTCCTGCCTTTCTGCCTGTGATTGTCTGTCTCCCAAATGAGCTTCCCTACGTCCCGATGATGTGGTTGGTGAGACCCAGGCACTGGAGTGAGATCACAGGCTGAAATTTAGGATGGCACCGTCAGAGGGAGCCTCACTCAGGGACCTGCTGGATTTCAGCAGTGGATGGAGACTTAGAGAGAGAAAGAGGCTTTTAATTCTAAATGTAAACATCTAAGTCAAGTAGTAAGAATTAATGTGTCTAGTACACTGTGTTAACTTTACAACAAAGGGATGGCTTAGAATTTTAATTGCTGTAGCCGTTTATGTGAATTTTTTTTAAGTTAGAAACTTGGAAAAGGGAATATTGACAAATGAGCACATTCAGAAGAGCAGGATCAGGTTGGAAAGGAGGTGAGAACTCTGGAAATTCAGGGAATGGTTGAAGGCTTTGGGGAAGAGATGGCCAAGGGAGCCGGACATAAGAGCTGAATTAACATCTTAGATAACGGCCATTGAGAAGAGGGAATATACCTGTTTTGTATCACCATGCAAGGCCAGGCTGGAACCACTGGGTGGCACTTACGAAAGGCAAATTTCAGCTCTTGGTTCAACATAAGGAAAACATCCTATATAATAAAAGCCTAATATGCTAAGTGTCGGGTCATCCGGTCATCTGTTCAACCAATCAAAGCGTAAAATGCTAATGATATGCTAAGGCTGCTCAACTGCTCGCTATGATGTGCACTGACCAGCAGGGGGCAGACAGTTGACAGGTAGGTTAGCTTTCTGCTGGAGTCTGACCAGTTGGGACTAAGCAAGACAGGCCGCATACACGCTGGAACCCTCTCACAGTCCCTCCCTGGCTGGCCAACCTCCCACATCCCTCCCCAGCCCCAGTTGTGCACCAGTGGGGTCCCTCGGCCTGGCCTGCACCTTCTTGCAATCCGGGACTCCTCAGGGGATGTTGGAGAGCCAGTTTTGGCCCGATCCAGCAGGCCAGCCTGAGGGACCCCACTGGTGTACAAATTCATGCACCGGGCCTCTAGTTTCTAATATTTGCTGTCCTGGAAGGTATTTAGCCTTTCACCATGGATGCGTCCCTTATGACATAAGAAATCGAGATAGAAGCTCCTTATAAATAATTTTCTATTGTTTACTAGGCTGGGCCTGTTGTTATGATCACAGCATTATCATTACTTTGCCCAATGACCAAAATCGGCAAAATTATAACTAAATCACTTCAGGGCATTTGCACCAAATTTTAAAAAACTCAGACTACTGCCTGGACAGTGTGCTCAGTGGTCAGAGTGTTGTCCTGTGCACCACAGGGTCAGTGCATGTGCATGAAGCAACCAATCGATGTTTTTTCTCTCTCACTTCTCTCTCTAGAATCAGTGAAAGGCATATTCTTGGGTGAGGATTAAAAACAAAGCAAAACAGAGACCTGGACCACTGAATCAGTTACTTGTGGAATCTTGAACTCTGACTTTAGAAGAGAAATATATTTTTATCCATGAACTCCGGATATTAAGACAATTTGACCTAGAAACAGAGGCAGCAAATGTCAGGGTCCCTTTTCCTTCCCTCCCAGGAAGTCTGAAAGCTTGTCAGTGTGGTAGCTTCACATTCACCAACGGCTGAATCTAGTCTCCATCCATTGTTGGTGTCATTTTCGTCCCAGTGTCTATGAAGAAACTCCGTTTATTAAAATGATGTGCTTCTTTCCCCAGCTCCAATCATCCATGAGGTCCTTGGAATCTTAAATTGTTAGGCAATGTATTTCCTTCCACCTCAGTACAGTGCAATTTCTTAACAATAACAATCTGAATAAAACATAACTGATAAAAAAAATACATAAAAACAACAAAAAACAAACAAAAAAATACCCAGCCTACGTTTTGTAATCCATAGCTCAGTAATTGATTTCCATTGTGTGGGACAGTATGTCTCAGTAAGGACTTGCCCATGTAAGAAAAGAGCAGAATGCGCCTTTTAGAAATGAAAGATTAATATATATCTGTGGGGCCAAGTTCATTGGAAAAAGGCAACTTGAAGAATCTTGTGTGAAGTGTGGGACCAAAGACCCTCACAGACTAGATCTTTATTGGGGTGGATGTCAGGGACTGGTGTCTCCCTCCATCACTCCTTCTTCTAACTGGTTCTAACTCTGACGAAAAGAAAAGAGAACTAGCTCTACATGTGCTCCTTAGACTTCGAAGGTTTGCCAGAAAATATAGAGGGACTGAAAGAAATAGCTCTTGCGGGGGAAATTCACTCATCCCTCCGCCCACCAGCTACCCGCCAGCACTCTCCACGCAGGGCTGGGGCAGGTGGGGAGGCGCAGGTGTGGTTCTGCATCTCCCCAGCGGTGTCATCCTGTCATCTCAGCTCCAGAGCAGCCCTCCTGCTGGGGTGTCCTGCTTCTGTGGAAAAGCCCCCCTGGGGCAGGTCCCGTGCCTCAGTCAGGCTGCATTCCTGACCTTTCCCTGAAAGGAACCCGGGGCCCAGGGAGGAGCAAAGGGCAGGGTGGAACCTTGACACATCTTTAAGTGTTAAGACTTTAGCTGGCCCTTCAGAGGGTCATTCCCACCTATTTCCCTGTGCTCACCAAGGCCCAGTCTCCTGCCAACCAAAGCGGTTTTTCTGCCAAGGGGAAATTAGCTGGAGGAAAAAACAAGTTCTTATTTGCCCTCGAAAAGGGTTAGACGTACATTTTTGCCAATGGGCAATGATATTGTTCAGCTGAATACACGGTAATTTAATAAGAGTTCCTTTACCTTTTCCGCCTCAATCATGGGCATCCTTCTGTTTCATCATGGCCTTCTAATTTCCCATTGTGTTTGTGATGGGTGAAATGCAAGTGTCTGAAGAGTTCCAGAGAAGGCATTTTTCCTGAGTTTTCCTTTGCAGAAGCAATTGCACCCCCGACCGCCTTGTATAATTTAGATGTTTAATGAGTGCACAGGTGCAAGGAATCGATTTTCTTGTTAGTGGCTCTCCATGCAGGCAGTGCATTAGAATCACAGGGAAGCCTTAAAAAATTCCAGAACCCAGCAGATGGGAGTAGGAGGGAGGGACTGGCGATTGGGGGTATTTTTGGTTGGTTTTTAAGCCCCACAAGATTCCAGTATGCAACCGATGTTCCGGGTTCTTACAACAGTAGCATGCGTTTCCATGCTGGGTTTTCAGGTCATCAGTGCATTTAGCCAGCCTCCCTCAGGAGCTGTTGTGCCTGCGGTGAGAAGGTGGCAGTGAAGCTGGTAGGAAGGGCTCAAGGGAAGAAAGTGCGAGAGACGGGTCAGCAGGGACCAGGAGCACTGAAGTGGGAGGCTGGTCCAAGTGTGTGACCGTCTGAAGCCCTATCAGCCCCGTCTAGACAGCTCCATCTAGAAAGCCCCACATAGACAGCTCACTCTTTTTTTAAAAAATATATTTTACTGATTTTTTTATAGAGAAGAAGGGAGAGGGATAGAGAGTTAGAAACATTGATGAGAGAGAAACATCGATCAGCTGCCTCCTGCACTCCCCCCATTGGGGATGTGCCCACAACCAAGGTACATGCCCTTGACTGGAATCAAACCTGGGACCCTTCAGTCCACGGGCTGACGCTCTATCCACTGAGCCAAACTGGTTAGGGCCGTGGTCGGCAAACTGCGGCTCGCGAGCCACGTGCGGCTCTTTGGCCCCTTGAGTGTGGCTCTTCCTAAGCCTTAGGAGGACCCTAATTAAGTTAATAACAATGTATCTACCTATATAGTTTAAGTTTAAAAAATTTGGCTCTCAAAAGAAATTTCAGTCGTTGTACTGTTGATATTTGGCTCTGTTGACTAATGAGTTTGCCGACCACTGGTTAGGGTGATGGCTCACTCTTAATAGCTCTGCTGGCCTGGTGGTGTCCAGGTAATAAAACTTCCCAGAGGCTATCCGTGGCCATCTAGAGAGAAGTTGTTACTAAGGCAGGTATATTTAGGCACACTTGTTAAACAGATAATAGAGACTTAAAGGGACAGAATCCAATTCCAGTGGAAGCCGAGAACTACCACTAACAGAGACCGAAAGTGGTTCACATGGATCCTCTTCCCGCAGTGCTTGTGTGTGCACATGTACGGCCTTGCCTTGGTTTAAATTACTCACTTCTGTCTACACAGAAGACCTTACTTTTGGCCACACTGGCTTCCCTTAGAAAGAAAAGAACACGATACCTTGTTGAAGTCGTAGTATTAACAATGACCTTGTCTCAAGTGCAAGACAGGGCAGAACATTTTTGCAGTTCTTCAGAAATGGTTTTGAAAGTATTTGATTATTATCCTTTAGCCTTTTAAAGAGTGAATTTCTTGTTATAACTCTATAAGTTTTTTGAGGAGACAAAATGGATGAGGAAGAATAGATGATGAGTAACTCTTTGGGGAGTTGAGGTTTGAGTTACTAGTTTCTGGCTCTTGAGCCAGCCAGCAAAGCTGGGCTTCTCTTTTATTTTTTCAAGTCCCCATAACTTACCTCCCAGGCCCCGAATCTGTATACACCCCCTGCATTAGAGACTGGGGGAAGTAAGTTAGAGGAAGGAGTCAACTTTATGGGTTTATAGGGAAAGGTACCTAGACTGGAGATGAGCATGGACTTTCTAGAAGCAGACATGCTTGCATTGACTAGTTGTGGGACCTTCAAAAAGTTATTAGTTTCTTGTCTGTAAAACAAGGTTAATAACAGTATCTATCCGAGAGGATTTTGTAAGAGTTAAATGAGGTGATATGCAGTTGATTCTTGACAACACGTGGGTTACCCTATGCAGTCCAAAATTCGTGTATAACTTTTGACTCCCCCAAAACTTAACTACTAATAGCCTACTGTTGCCTGGAAGTCCTACCTATAACATAAACAATTGATTAACACATATTTTGTACATTATATACTGTACTCTTATAATAAATGAAGCTAGAGAAGAGAAAATGTTATTAAGAAAATTATAAGGAGAAACTATATTTTAAGTATTTATTGAAAAAAATCTGCATATAAGTGGAATTGTACAGTTCAAATCTGTGTTGTTAAAGGATCAGCTGTATAGAAAATACAGCATATTCATTGTAACATAGGAAATACCCAATAAATATTAGCTGCTATTATTATTATTATTATTATTATTACTACTACTACTACTACTACTACTGATGGGTGGGTCCTTGCTGTGAACACCAAAGGTAAAGTTAAATGGATTAAAAGCAAAAGCCGCTGGGTTGATTTTTTGAGCATTATGCAGGACTGCCCTTCTCTCCTTGGGAGTCTTATGGATCTTGGGGTACCTTCTTCCTCCTCCTGTGCTTCGTGCTGCGTTCTGGCTTAGCCATCTGTCCTTTGAGTAGAATATTTATACACAAAGCACATTTTTTAAATAATTGTTATTGATTTTTAGAGCGAGGGGAAGGAAGAGGAAGAGAGAGAAACATCTCTATCAGAGTGAAACATTGATCAACTGCCTCCCACATGCCCGCTAGTGGGGATCGAGCCTGTAGCCCTGGCATGTGCCCTGACCGGGAATCGAGCTGGCAACATTTTGGTGCACGGGACGTTGCCTAACGGACTGAGCTACACTGGCCAGGGCTATCCACAAAGCAATTTAAAAAAATCAATTCTCTACATCCCGAGAATCTCCTATTTTAAATGGATCAGCCACTTATTAGCAATTTATTTTGAAATTATCCTGTGCTGTGCTGAAGTGTACAACACAAAAGTGCATTTTTGCCAAGTGCCCTGTGTTTGGAGGGTTCCATGTAATCTCCAACACTGACAATTAGCCACATGGGGGCAGGGGAAGGAGCCATAGCACTGAGCCCGCAACCCTAACCCACCCCATTCACCTGTTTCCAGATCATGTCCCACGAGCTCTTCTCCAGATTTAGTCTCCGGCTCTTTGGAAGATGATAAATGGTAGCCCGCCCTGGGTTGGAAGCGATTCCCTGTATTGTTCGTGATTAGAAGAACGCTTGCACTCTCTGCTGGGAAGAGGTGGCATGTATCTGATGAGCCGATGAGCAAAACAGGAAGGACACGCTATTAAAAGGAACACTTGACCATGTGGGGCTCTTATTTGTGGAAACACCACATACTGTAACGTCAACTTGTACAGCCCCACACTGCAGAGTCAAGAGGGCTCAAAGATCCACAGACCAGTTTTTAGAAACTTGGGTTCCTAGACATCAAAGAAGGAGACATGATGAAAAATAGTCCTAAATATAATTTGGAAAGTGCCAGGTGGAGGCTGGTCGTCAGGTCCTGGAGAATGGAGCCCTCGTATGGAGAAGCTGCCGAGGACCCTGCTAAGGAGACGGGAAGTGGGCTTGAAGAATTCCAATGCTGCCACCAGATCACACCCCAGAAAATACAGAAGCAGCCGAGTGTCCACGTAGCTGGCTTTTATTTATCTGTGAGTGGTGGCCCAGCGGATGTCCTCTCTGAGTGGAGATCAACAGCACTAGTCAACTTAGCACTCTTCCTGTTGGTTTAAGGAGAGTTGGGTTGGCTTCTATCACCACAGGCGTTTTGCCTGAATAGACAGTTGGACTAACTTCATGAAAAGGAGAAGTATATCTGATGATGAGAGACATGTATTCGGCTGAAATATATTGAAGTGAAATATGCTTCATGCTGCTTTATTTGTATGGGGTGCTGGTCTCTCATCAACATGTAGTGTTGCTTAAATCTAGTTAGTAGTAGCAGCAGCAGTGGTGGTGGTAATAATAACCAGTGGGTGGTATTAGCCCACCTATGCTAGTAGCCTGGGTTAATGGAGTGAGTTCATTAAGGGGACAGCGTCAATTGGATGTTGGGTAGTTGTCCACTCCCACCACAACAAGGTGGACAGGTAGATGCTTTCTTGTCAATAGTTGCCTTCGGTCTTTCATTGAGATGCTTCTGTCCAGCTTAAGCAAGTAAGCAGTGGACGGGAAAGGAAGCAGGTGAATAAATTTCCGGATTAGTAATGAACTGTTAATGCAGTTAACCTACCTTTGTATCCTGTTTCAGGGCAGGTCCCCAGACACTCTGCTGGGAGCTCAGACTTCTGCTAGGGAGATTTGAGTCAAATTTGAGATTTGCTGACCCAGATGTCACTCTAGCGTTGTAACCTACACTGTTTATAGGGTTCCATGCCTTCCTCCTCTCATGTTTTTCTAAGTCTCTGGTGGAAAAGTTCCTGGCATTTGTTCTAGTGGCATAGATTCATTACCCAGTTTCAAAAATAATAAAAAAAAAAAGAAAGAAAGAAAGAAAAGAAAAAAAAAAGAAAGAAAGAAAAAGGAAACGAAATGTCATGACTTGTAGAGAAAGTGGGTCATCCCGGTGAGCCTTTCTCCCAGAACCGTGTGCTGTCCTCCTGCCCGTGGAGCTTCTTCCCTCTTGTGGGTGACAGACATCAGGTCAGGTCACACTTTGCTGCCAGGATTGCGATATGGTGTGAACTTGACTTATTGGCTGTCACACCTGAGTTAGGTGTTCACATTCTGCTGCACCCCACCCATGCTCCTCCCCTTAACTGGATCATTAGCTTTCGGCTCTTAAGGCTACAGTTTTGTCTCATGGTCACTCAGGCTTCCACCCAAAATAGGTGCTACTCAGAAACAGGTCACACTTTGCTGCCAGGATTGCGATATGGTGTGAACTTGACTTATTGGCTGTCACACCTGAGTTAGGTGTTCACATTCTGCTGCACCCCACCCATGCTCCTCCCCTTAACTGGATCATTAGCTTTCGGCTCTTAAGGCTACAGTTTTGTCTCATGGTCACTCAGGCTTCCACCCAAAATAGGTGCTACTCAGAAATTTGATGCAGAATGTATTTATAGTAAATTAAAATGTTATAGTTTCAGATCCTAGTGTTTAATGTTGTATTACTCATGTCTTTACTTTAAAAATCTTAGATACTTTATCTAAAATGTGGTTTTTAGAAGGTATCAGAAAGCTCTTAAGTGCGTGAGCCTTTCCTTCGATGCATTGTTGAAAGGATTACTGCACTCTCACTGTATGACATGTACCGATACATGTATTCACCATACAAATTGTCCTTTCAAGGGAGGAGGTCTTTTTTTTGTCGATGTCAGTGAACCACTTTCTCTCTGTTGAGATTGTTTCTAGTTGGCTCTGCAATATTTCTTAAAGACCAGGTCCCCAGGACCTTCCCCTAAGAGAGTGTGTGAGGCTGTGCTCCTGTCCAAGTGGCTACCACCTACTAGATGTTTCTCAGGTTTCAAGGCTATGCGTGTAGACCTCACAGTCCCACACACACTAAACCTCTAGGGAAGGTATTATTAGCCCATTTTTTTTTTTGGCATAGGAAGCTGAGACTTAGTGTCTTCAAAAATAAGTAGCCATCCATCACTTAGCAAAAGATGTTGATGTCGGGTTCGTTGACTCCAAAACTAGCATTCATCCTTTGCTGCTTATATTTTTTTTAACTGGGGGGAAAAGTTTTAAATGCAGAAAATTACAGAGAATTATTAAAACAAAAACCCTGGTACTCTCCTCTAGAATTGACAAATGTTAACATTTTGGCATATATTTCAGATTTTTCTAAATAAAAGAAAACGGTACAAAGGGGAGTTTTTCTTTTTATCCCTCTCCAATTCTGATCTTTTTCCTTATCCCCCCTCCCTCCCTCCTCAAAGGCAATTTGATCTCTATGCAGACCATGTGTCAATGCTTTTACTAACTATATATGTGTCTATTATCAGCGTATGGCTTAATTTATTGATAAAAGATGTATGTACATTTTTATTTATAATATATAAATAAGTAAAATTTATTGTATATTTTTGCAAGTTCTTTTCCTAATTTTGTTTCTGATGTTACATATAGATCTAAATTATTCATTTTAATGGCTCTCTAATATTCCACTATGTAAATATAGGATACTGTATCCTAATGATAGACTTGAAGCATTTTTCCAAATTTTCATTTTTTTACAAACAATACCAAACATGTCTCTGTGCTTCTCCAATTGGGGAATGTACTTAGAGGAGGAATTGCCAGAGCCTGGGGTTGGCACAATTTCACCTTTACCAGGTACTGCCCGTGGATCTCCAAAGCAAACATACACTTCCGCCCATCACGTATGAGAAGGTGGATTTCTCCACACCCTCACACCTCCTGGCTCTGTTGGACTATAATTTTTGCCATTTGTGAAATAGTTTCTCTTTGTTTGGGTTTTAATTTGCATCAGCCTGATTACTACTCATTGCGACTGGCAAGGTTGAGTGTCTTCACAAGCTTATTGACCATTCAGGCTTCGTGTCTATGAGTTGGCTGTTCATGTCTTTGTTTATTTTTCTCTTTGGTTGTTTATCTTTTTTCCCTCTTGATTTGTAGGAACTCTGAATACTATCAATATTCATCATTTATCAAAAAATATTTTTATGCCATTATCTTCTCCCAGTCAGTGTGTTTTGTTTGTTTATGGTGTCTGGTGTAATATACATGTCTTTAATTTTGTTATTGTAAAAAGTTACCAGTTTTTTGTGCTGTGCTGTGTGTCTTGTTTGTTTGTCATAAGGATATGTTTATAATAGTTTCAGAGGTCTGTTTTTATCTCTAGGTCCTTAATTACAGCCCCCACCCACCCACTCATACCTTCTCTTCCTTTTTCTCCATACCTATCTAGCCTAATATCTTGTAATACATCCTACACTTACCTGTTTTGTTTATTTATTTGTTGTCTGTTTCCCTCCACTAGAATGTAAGCTCCCCAAGGGCAGTGGCTTTGACTGTTTTGTTCATAGCTGTATCTCTAAACCTGAAAAAGTCACTGACCCAGAGGAGAAGCTCAATAAATATTTATTGAACAAATAAATAATAATCCCTGTGGAATTTATTTCTTGTATATGTGATGTGAATAGGGCTCCATTTGGGGGTGGGGGCGGGGGAAGTGGGAGATCATGGAAAGCTTGTTTCTCTAACAGCATTAATTGGATGGTCCATCCTTGCCCCACTGATTTTTTTTCATGCCACCTCTATCAATGGAGATGTTTCCCTTGTGCCACGGTCTTTAAACACTTCTGTTCTCGCCCAGCCGGCGTGGCTCAGTGATTGAGCCGTTGAGCTATGAACCAGGAGGTCACTGTTCAATACCCGGTCAGGGCCTGGGTTGTGGGCTCAATCCCCGGAATTGGATGGTCCATCCTTGCCCCACTGATTTTTTTTCATGCCACCTCTATCAATGGAGATGTTTCCCTTGTGCCACGGTCTTTAAACACTTCTGTTCTCGCCCAGCCGGCGTGGCTCAGTGATTGAGCCGTTGAGCTATGAACCAGGAGGTCACTGTTCAATACCCGGTCAGGGCCTGGGTTGTGGGCTCGATCCCCAGTGTGGGGCTTGCAGGAGGCAGCCAATCATTGATCTTTCTACCTCTCGCTCCCTCTCCCTTCCTCTCTGAAATCAATAAAAAATATACATTAAAAAATATTTCTGCACTCCTGCCTTTGTGCTAAAGTCTGCGGGGAAACCCAGTCCTGGGGTCAGGAGTGGGGATGCGGGTGATGAGCAGGTCCGATTGTGCCCTCAAAGGGCTTTCTGGTTGATGTTAAAACCTGTGAGAACTCAAGGCAGAGTGTGATGTCGTATGCAGGGGTATGATCCGGGTGCCGAGGCACAGGACCTGAGACAACAGCAGTTAAGCTCACAGATGTCGAGTAATAAATGAAATCTGAGTTTGTGTCCTGCTTCTCTTCCTGGGTGGGCTTTATTTCTTTAGTGAATTACTCATTCTTCCCAACACTGTTTCCTTATCGACAAAATGAAAATGATGAAACAGCGCCTGCTCCAGAGGTGGCTGTGAGGAGGGACTGGTAGAATGCGTGCTCACTAACTCCAGTGTGGGCGGGAGTCTTTAGGGAGGAGGTGATATTTGACCCAGTCTTGCAGGATGGATTGGAAATTTCTAGGCTGGGTTTGAGTGGGTGGAAAAGGACATGCTAGACAAGATATGGAATAAACAAAAACCGAAAACATGGAGACCAGTAAGTGCAGGGTGAGTTCAGGGAGCACTAATCTAGTTTGACTGGACTGTGGGAGGGAATCCCAATGAAGAGGCTGGAAATGTGGGTTGAGGCCAGTTGTGGTGGGTTATCAGCACCAAGCCAAGAGTGTCCTATTTGCTTTACTCTCATTTCCTGATGGCTCTTTAGGGGGGGCTGGGCCATTGGGGGGAGGGGGAGGAGCGAGGGAAGCTAGTGCAGGTGAGGGCCCATATTCAGGGCCCTTGAACTTTAGGAACTTTTATTTTATTTTTTAAATCTTTATTGTTGAAAGTATTACATAGGTCCTCCTTTTCCCCTCATTAATCTCTTCCAGCCTGCTCCTGTCCCCCTTCCCCCAGGCCTTCACCACCCCATTGCCTGTGTCCATGGGTTATGCATATATGCATACAAGTTCACTGGTTGATCTCTTCCCATCCACCCTCCCTTCTGACAGGTGTGAGGTGATATCTCATTGTCGTTTTGATTTGCATCTCTCAGATGATTAGTGACTTTGAGCATTTTTTCATATGTCTCTTGGCTTTCTGAGGAACTTTTATTTTTTAGCTCCAGGTGTGGAGCTGGGTACTTCCAGATACATATTGCATTGCATTTATCTCCAGTGATTCTTTCCCTGGATATTCCTGGTCGGCGTGTGGTCTTTTGCCCCTGCTCCTGCATCTACTGAGGAAAGCACAGGGACAGAGACGCTTAGAGCACCCTCTTCTCCATCCCGCCTTCCTCCTCTAAAGCCACAGAAGAGAAAGAACAGCCTTCAAGACTTAGGGCCCCAGAATTTCTTCCCAGCTTTGCCTCCTTTCTGGGCAGCATCACAGCGATAGGTTGTCACCCAGAGATGATGGAGGCTCCCCTCTGGACATCAGTGTGGTGCGAATGAAAGGGCCTTGGCTTCAGAGGATGTGGGTTTGGATCTCAGGTCTGCCAGCTTCAAGCCTGCGACCGAGAAGTTCCTGACACGTGAGAATTCCGGTGCTAAAGCCTGGAAAGTCCCGGCAAGCTGGGGTGAGCGGGCCGTTAGCCCTGTGGTCTGAACCTTTTCCTCTCCCCATCCGCAGCCGGCAGGTGCATTCCGTATTCGGGGGTACCAAACATCCCTCTGCCTGCTCGCTTTATTGCACTCACGTTTGCATTTCTTTCTCCATCTACTGCCTGCCTTCCTCCCTGGGATGTTTTCTCTGTGAAGGTGGAGACAAGTCTTCCTCGCTCAGCACCTGACACTGGGTCCACCGCAGAGGTGATCACAGGTGACTGTTGAGGAACGAGCGATGATGCGACTCTAGGAACCTCAGTTTCCTCCTCTTTGGGGATGACTTCTCTTCGGGTTGTTTCCAAGAATAATGAGCTAGCCCAGCAAGAGCCCTGGGACCCAGTGCACCCCTCTTTCTTCCTTCCCCGTGAATGCATGCAGGTGGCAGGGCCAGTTTACTCATCCTTCCCGGATGTGTATACAGCCCAGTCACGTTTCGGCGCCAGGAGACTCAGATTGCTCTTCTCCAAGAGAAGTTGAGTTATCGTTAATATAAGATAGAAATCAAACCAAATCAGATTATTTTACCTCGGAAGCCAGTTTCAACTGATCCTTTTGAATGGTATAGTTCTATTATTATATATAACTTCAAACTTAATAGAAAAAAATTGATTAAAATATGTGCCCTGTTCATATCCGGCCTGGCTGAATGCCACAAGACACATTAATTGAAAATGAATTTCTGCAAACCCAATCAAGCTCATGAAGATGAAAAATGTTCCTTTTTCCCTCCGTCCCTTCATTGATTTTTCATTTTCCCCACTCAGAGCTTCGTTTAGCAATTTTTCAGTTTCATTTTGTTGTGGCCTTAATTCATTTCCTTCACTCCCCCCAAAATGAGATAATGTACCATTTTCCTTGTCCTTTTAAAACTGTCCTTTCAGGCCTCATTAGTGCTGGCCGGATTCCGGTGGTGCCGTATGGAGGTGGAGGGGGGCAGTCCAGGCACACCTGGTTTGTAATTTTTAAAATTCTTACTGCGGTCGTTTTTATGGAGGAGGGTGCACTTTAAAACGCATTACTGTGAAATGACAATGTCACAAGACTTGTAAAATAGGATTAAGAGGAACTGTAGGAAAAATTTAAAAACACACATGCCTTTTCAGGAGAACGAGTGTAAAGTGCGGACTATCCCCATTTTTCATGGAGGGTGCAGGAGGGTCCCGCGTGCTTCCTGTTTGGTTGAGGGAAATGGAGACAACCCTTTGCCAGATCACAAGGGGTTCGGAAAACGAGGCCCTGTCAGGACAAGAGGAAGCCGAGGGAGAAGGCGCTGAAGCCTGAGTGCGCTCTGGAAGGTTCCTGCCAGTCCCGTCCCGTCCCTGCCCTGGTCAGTTCCCTGGTTCACTGGACCTCTAGGTGTTTTGAAACAGTAATGGGGATCCTCGAGTTATTTTCTTGTGAAATTTTCAAGTCATCTCACAGCTTATAATGTCCTGTGGAAAGTCTACAGGGACTCACCATGAAGTGTCCTATTGCTTTACTTTGACCTAGAATTCAGAACCCTGATGATCTCATTCTGATGAGAAGCTTCGGGTGGCACTTCTTCTTTGATCTGCCTAGCAGTGGGAAAAGGATTTGTTTCTTTAGCAGCGCGGTTTAAAGCAGGAAGTGTGTCTAAGTGAGGGCCCAGGAGGAGTGAAAAGGCAGGAGTGTTGCTGATAGAGGCTGGGAACTTCCTACCACCACGCACCGCCCTCATACCCCGGTTTCCAATAAAAGCACCTGTGGGCTTTTCCTGAAATTAAAATGAAAATGGCAGAAGAGGGTAAAAGGAGGATAAATGGTGATAGGAGATGACTTGGGGTGGTGAATACACAATACAATATACAGATGATACGTTGTAGAATTGTACACCTGGAACCTATATAATTTTATTAACCAATATCACCTCAATAAATTCAATAAATATTTTTTAAAAAATTAGGATGAAAACAAAATAAAATAAATATCAAAGAAAATAAACAATATCATAAACTTATTAGTAAACAAACAAACAACGAAAAATAACGTAACTCCTAGTATCGTACTCCATTCAGTGTGTTTCCTGTTTTATGTAAGGCATTTTCCAGATACGTGCATGTTATCAGTCACCAGCTGGTAAGAGAAAGCATCCCAGGCACAATTTCTTTAAAAACCATATCAAGTGCTATCTAGCATTTAATACTTATCTGCTGCTGCTATTTCTTATATTTCTTCATTTCTGTCCACATCCCCCACCTCAATATGGAGTTAATGTTTCACGAGTCTTGCACAATTGGGTGCCATTCTCACAGTTCTAATTACAGGCCTGCATCACGTTCTGTCGTCCTAACACAAAACAACCTGTCTCCTTCGCATCTGTCACTAATGGAAAAAACCTCCAGGGTTGTATGGATCCATACATAACAGGGCTTCACTCAATTTTTGTACAATTTCATTTTGATCTGGTTGACACATAAGCTCTTTTTGAAACAAATTAGGAGGAATCCTTTCACTAGCAATCTATTTCCAAAGCAGTTTATAAAGACGTGTGGATTGATAAGGGTGATTTCATCTCCTCGGAGAACTGCTCTTTCCTATGAGATAATTGACACACTGGACATTTGTGCTAGGTGGGCTTGCTGTCTCGTGCAAGGGCAAGATGTGAGTAAAGGGTGGTAAATGGCAGTGATTGTCCTAAAGCAGGGGTGGGCAACCTTTTTGTGAGTGCGTGCCAAAACCAGCAAAATCTCTGACTCAAAATTCTTCTGCGTGCCAACCCTAATTTTTTTAGAACATGTTACGCCTACTTGATATCTCCTAAGGTGT